GGCTAGTGTCTTGGTAAGACCACCTGTTGACTTTCATTATGGTAGCACGTAGTATAATGCGCCTAATACTTTTCGAAATTATGTAAGCAGGATGTGTCCCTCCAGGGAGAGAGTGCGCATTCCATTCCAACCATGTGTAGGTGGGATTTCCATGGGTAGGTGGGATTTCCATGGGTAGGTGGGATTTCCATGGGTAGGTGGGATTTCCATGGGTAGGTGGGATTTCCATGGGTAGGTGGGATTTCCATGGGTAGGTGGGATTTCCATGGGTAAGTGGGATTTCCATGGGTAGGTGGGATTTCCATGGGTAGGTGGGATTTCCATGGGTAGGTGGGATTTCCATGGGTAGGTGGGATTTCCACGTAGGTGGGATGCATAGAATTTTCAGTTTGGTTAGATACTCTGAAGCATTGTGATGGACGATGTGTGTCAGACACCCGATTGACCACAAAAAATAGTATAATGGTATACCAATGCGTTAAACCATTCATTGGTGAGAAGTGGTCTGGTGATGAGAAGTGGAGTGGTGCTCAATTTCCTCCAGCAGTGAAGTGCCTATTTGTCATACTTATCTCCAAAAGCCTAGGCTGCTCTTGCATGCCACCTAGCAGCCATTGGCAGAGACTTGACAGAAGGTTACTCTCCTCTCTTGGTCAAGTAACAGTACTTGGGGAAGGAGGGAATCTTATAAAAAGGGGTAGTGACATTTAAAAGGATTGAAAACTAAAGAAAACTTGCCAACATTTCACCAGTCCCAACAGCTTTGGTGTTAATCTTGCACAGAGGTTTATAGAAAAGTGTGACTTAATGTGCTTGAAGCCTGAGAAAGAACTATAGCTTTTCTCAGGTGAAGATTGTAAAATCTTAAAATTAGAAAATGGTGTAAACAGGATTCAGCACTAGTTAGAGTAAACTCTAACTTCAGTATATATGACGTTTATGAGGCAGAATTGAGGCCAAGGGCCCAACTGTATTCTTTAGCTTCATAGTGTGTTCTTTGTGTTGCGTAGCAACTGACTCCTCGCAGCACCAGAGCATTGAATCTCCCGTAGCAACTATGCTGAGTGCATCAATAACAGCAGCACAGATCAGTCTCACTATTTTTGGTTTGTGGTGTACAGTAATAGATTCAACAGTTCTGAATATGTTTTTTTATTCTGTCTGAAGCCAGCGTGAAGATGGGTTTATCGCCGCTTCCAGGGTGGCATAATATGTTAAATATTGTTTTCGCGTAATCAGTAGTTACACTGGTGTCAAAAGTAATTTTAACACCTGGGATCTTCCTTTATATAAAAATGTGATTTCTCAGTTGTTTAAAACCTCCCTCCTCAGCAGTGCAATATGTGTAATGTGAAATGACTTTTGAAAGAATTTGTAGCTACTGCGAAACTCCCGTTTCATTCTTCACTCAAACACCAGTGGTTTTAAGCTACCAACATAATTCAGCAGTGGGGGTGGGGTCCTATCAATCCATCTACTGATAGAAGCACTAATGTGCTGTCCCTCAGAGTAATGTGGCATTTGCCCAATTCTGCCCCTGCTGGGTTTCTATCAAAGCTGTGCTGTATGGGGAGTTACAGAACAGATTCCCCATTGCCTCCAAATGGGGAAAGAAATGGCCTTTCCAACTGGCTTAACTCCTCTGCTTAACAGGCAGCTAGTCCAGCCCAGAGGGTCATTAACTATGTTCTGAGAACAAGATTGCCACCCATCCTCTTGGCCAGACACTACATTGTATGGAGAATCATGTGAGGGGAGAAAGGAGAAGAAAATAAAGTGAGCCTCCAAATAGAAGAAACCAGAGAATTTAAAATCCAATATGGCATGATCTCAGTGGTCATTAATCAGAGACAATGTCACCAAAAATCCTGTGCGTGTGTTTATACTGTACATGTATATAATAATGTTTATTTTCTACAGTTTCTGAGGAGAAAATACTTTAAAAACAATTCTGAAGGGATTAGATAATGTGGAGTCTTGCAGCTTAGTGGTTAGTATGCTCGCCTCGCAAGCAAGAGGACCTGGGTTCAATTCCTGGGCAGGACAAAATGTAAGGCAAGTTTCCTTACTCCACACACCTCTGTTTACCTAGCATTAAGTAGGAAACCATTTGTTGGTTGATCATGGATCACTTTTCCAGGGGTAATAGTTCCTTTTTTAAAAAAAATTGGTCACTCAACAACTGGTATGGGACACGGCTGTGCAAAATTGGCTGCACTTTGTTCGTAAATATACAGTCAATTCACTTTACAGTATATTCTGTGAAGCGCTTTGAGGCGTCACAAAGACATGATAAAGCACTACATCAAATGCAAAGATTATTATTATATATTATTTAGAGCCATTACTATATTGGAACCCCATAAGGATATATTTTACCCCTATTTTCCAAACTGACTTGTTAACTTGGCTATGATCTACTTGCTTGTTTCATATTGCATTAGTCAATTGCATAACTGAATGAAATGCAAGTCCCCTGAGTAGCCAAACTGAACAGAAATGCTACAGGCAGGCTAGATCCCCACACAAAGGGTAGAGGTGAATTTCAAATGGAGTATGATTCACCATCATTGTTGCGGTGTCGGGCAGAATATTTCAAGTATTTGAGACAAACTTAGGACATTGGCACAGTCAAAAAACAGCCCAATAAATTGGATCTGATCATACACCTTTCTAGAGTGCCAGGAAATTTAAATAATCCTTCCATTTGTATAGCACCTTATCATGTCATTGAGATGTCTCATGAAGTGCTTTGCGGAATATACTGTAAAATGGAGTGACTGTGTTTATTACTCTGCACTAGACTGCTCGCCATAAGTTGCATACAAAACTGTACCACTTACACCAGTGGTCGGCTTTTTGGTCGGCCAACCAAATACATTTTTCTTGATTGAATATTTCTTGATTAATGGCCATACCATAAATATTGTTACTCATTAACTACTGAAAACAAAATATTGATTTAACACAGACTTACCTAGACTAGTTTGAATGTTCAGTGGGCTTTTTTTTATGCTGTCATGGGCCAAAAGTGACCCACAGGCCTGGGATTGGCCACCACTGACTTACACCAACAAAATAACCAGGAAAGGCAGATCAGATCCATTCCTGTAACCAAGCAGCAGGAGGAAAATACCTTTTTTAAAAAAATATTCCTCCTCCATCAGCCTGGCAAGCAAAAAATGTATTTGTTTGAAAAACAACTTCACTTGGCTAGCTCTCTGTATACTCATCATGCCACCTCTATTGGTGCAATATGCCTCATTAACACTGCACGATATATAATATGATAGCATAATCTGAGTTAAAGTACATAATTTTTTTCATGTACTGGGAAGATAAACCATGAAGAAGATATTCTGTTTTCAAATTGGGAATTCTCTGTTATAAATGTATAAAAATGCAACCGTTTAGCACCCAAACCCTATGCTGGGTCTGAGTGCCCAAAAGTAAACTTGATAATGTCCAGTTAGGGTATTAAATTTTGTAGCATCATCACAGTATCAACAAAAAAGATCAGCATGCCTGCTGGACCTTTAGAGTCCACACACACTCACACAATTCTTCACACTGAGTAACATTTGATCAAAGAAAAGAGGCATGTGGTGAGTTGATTGACAGGAAAAGAATGAAAGGCACACAAGCTCCTCTAAACATATTTGTTCTGCTCTTAGTTTCTAGAAATGACTTGGCTCATAGCAACAGGGTAGGCTGCATTTCTTATTGGAGGCAGTATAATTGTTTTGCATCTGCAGGGCTTTACTCATCATTGTTATGATCAGTAATGAGGGGTAACCTTTTCTACATGTCACAAGATAATTTGTTTCATTTCTTGTCATATGTAGTTAATATTCGCCTTTTGTAGTGGATGCCAATGTGAATAGACAAGTATAAGCAAAAAATCAAAATGTGGTTGGATTGAAATAGGCCACATGCATTAGTCAACTTAATGTACTGTGTGTATCTTTGTGGCCAAATAAAGTCATTCCAATCTTGTATAGGTCACTGGTTTGAAATATTGTGTGAAATTTGGGGGAGCTATTTGAAGTGATGTGAAACTATTGGTGGGACTTAATAGTCTAAGTTTGAGGTGAGACTCACAGGGCTCATCTTGTCATCAGAAAAAAGGTTAATTGGTGAGGGTATTTCAGTTTTTTAAAAAACAAGTATGAATGTTGTAAACAAGGCATTTATAAGGATGTTTATGTGATCATGCAGGCATAATCAGGAACATTATTAAAGAGAGTTAATACCTAAAAGGATACTAGAGATTGGGATTTTCCCCCCACAATTAGTGGTTATGTGGAACACACTCAATAAAAGCAGTTAGTAATGCACTACTCTGGGAGTCAATTTGGCTCAGTTGGCAGCACTCGCACGTCTTTAGTCAGAAGGTTGTTTATTTAAGCCTCATGTCAGAACTTTGAACTCACAAACTCACAATCTAGGCTGATGCTCCAGGATGTTCTTAGGGGGGGGAGTGCTGCATTGTTGGAAGTGTTGTCCTTTGGAAGAAATGTTAATCCAAGGTTTTGTCTGCCTGGGACACTATTTGAAAAGTGAAGGGAGTTTCTCCCAGTGTCTTGGCCAACAACCGCACCCCCTTCCCCCTGCCCGACGTAATTCACTCGCTATCGCATCTGCCTACAAAATACACAGTCAGATCAGCCAACATGAACATAAGTGCACAACCCATGCATTCTTTAATTTGAGGTCCATTATGCATTGCAATGACACAGGACAGCAGTGCACCGGTCTGTTTTTATCTGTTTTTAGTCTGGACATTTTCCAAGATATCTGCTGCAACAAGAATGCCTACATTCTGCTCATTTCCAATGCTTTAAATTAATAACCTCACCACGTACTGTGAAGGATCAAGTCCAGGAGTGAATTTTGTATTACACAACTGAACTTCATGTGATTTGTTTTAACTCATTATTTCTTCTCTTTCCTGCTTCTCTACAGGTGTTGATTATTCCTGGGTACGGTTCCACAGGCGCTGGCCACCCTCCAATACCTCACCCTAGTTACCATTCTTCATGTGTGACCCCAACGGTGAGTGTTTATAAACTATTTGATTGTGGGGTATCACGGTTAATCCTGATCCTCTCCATGCATATTCACTTCCACCAGAGGTCATTGGGTAGTACTGAGAAGCATGTAATAATAATCCTTGCATTTGATATAGCGCTTTTCACGTCGGGAGGACGTCCCAAAGCGCTTCACAGAACACACTGTAGAGTGAATTGACTGCATATTTGTGGGTGAACGCGGCAGCCAATTGCGCACAGCAATGTCCACAAACAGTCGTAGATTGAAAATGACCAATTTATTATTGTTTTTGGTTTTGGAGGGATTATTATTAGGCTCTGTGTGGAGTAAGGAAACTTGCCCAAGGTTTCGCCCTCTGCCTGGAATTGAACTCAGGTCTCTCACTTGCAAAGCGAGTGCTCTAAACACTGAGCTACAGGACTCCACCCACCACCCAGCTGAGAGAGACTTAATAACACAAATTGGGATCATAGACTTTTCAAGTCTGTGGAACTCAGTTCACTTTGGGCAGTGCATTTATTGACTGAGCCATTGGTGGAATGTTTGTATTTATTTTACAAATCTAAATTAATCTCTATAAAGCCATCAACAGTTTTGTAGATGTATACACAGGTTGTTAACAAATGGTACTCCTCTGTGTTCTGTATGGAATGTATCATTGGGTGTACAACACAAAGACAATGCCACCAACTTGCATTTATATAGCGCCCTTCTTGCAGGGTGCCATCTCAAAGACTCAAGAACTTTTGATACAGAGCATTGTATTGTCCGTTTATAGTCAAAATCTATGTTGGAGTAACTCTCTGTTTTATGTACAAAAATATAAAACTCTTAGAAAAGAGTTACATTTCATAACTATTGTTTTATGTGCCAGCTTTGATATTAATTGTCCTGATGTTTCAGTTTTAAAATGGATGGACTGATGGATTTGTGGACGGGGAGGGGAGGGGTTGTTTAATTCTGTGGACAAAAAATCCTCCAGCAATATTATTGGAACTGTAAATGCACTTGTCTTTAAACAAAAATCTATTCACATGTAGTTCTTTTTAATCTAATTTCCTCTTTAATCACGTGATTTGTTCTTGCAGTTTTTCTTACACTTATTTTCAATCTCTTTCACCTTGTCGTTATTCTGTCTTTAATTAATTTTGCACTTTAATCTTAATTCACTCTTGCTATTTCTTTCTCCTTGCCTCCCTTCATTAAGTAGTCTTTCTGTTCCAATGTTCTGTCTTTATTTCTTCACTTTTTATAATCTGTTATCTTCCCTTTGTCGCTCCTTTAATTAATTATCTCTTCTTCAGTACTTTTGAATTCTCCCTTTCATTCATTGACAGCAGATTGGCACTAATGTGACATGACACAGACAGGCAGCCTTCGTGACCTCAATTTTTTTTCTATCCTACCTTCACCTGCAGTTGAAATCGAAAGAAACTGCATGCATGCAGCTGCTGAGCAAAACGCACTTACACTGTGTCTGATAAACACAGGGCCTGGGTTCATGTCTTTGACTCCACACGCATTAAGTTCCCAGTCTTATCCAAGCTGTGAGGGGAGGTGGTGGCCACAACTGGTTCCCACAGAGGGAATAAAATTTGCAGGCAAGTAATACTGAGGAAAGTTGTGGACCTCCTAGCAGCCAGTTGCAGAGTTAATTATTGGTTGTAAGAAAAGACTGCCTGTCACTCCATTGTGGCCCTAAATAACAGCAGATAAAATATGGGTCATTGGAAGGAACTATGTCTTTCAAATGTATGGTATAAGGAAATTACTTTTTTTTCTCCATAGTGTGGAAAAAATATAAACTTATAAACTTTTAGAGCATCTAACAGATGAGAGAAAATTTGGAAGCTAGAGGTTCTTGAACTTAATCTGTGAAATCTTTTGCAAAAGTGAAATTTCCAAATAGCTTGAATAACCTACTAATTTCCTTTGACCTATTAAAACATTACTTCCCTTGGTCCTTAGTGAGAGCACAATTTCAACTGCACTTCACCTGCTAGGTGCTATTACATTTGGCCTTATTACCAATTATAATTGCAGTTTTATGCACCATGACCATGTAATTCTATCTTATTTGATGGAAAAAGGATATTATTAGTGCTTCTGTGTCAATGTTGATTCATACATGTTGGAACAGCAGGAGGAATGAAAAATACACGACTAAATGTTCAATCTCTTCCTTTCCCCTTACTCTTCTTATTATTGAAGCTTCCAGATTTTTAAAGAAAACAGAAGAAATAATGACTCAATGACCCCAACGCTGGAGTTGAGGGTCTGTGTTTTGGTTCTTTTTAAAAATGCAGGCTTTGAAGTGAGTTTCTTGGACCTACTGTGCCCTGCCTGTACATTGGCAAAGAAAAATAGAATTAGCAGAGCTTCTATTGTCACTATCCCCTCCTCAGCAATGTAATGTAGAAATCCTTTTTCTTCATTAATGAGGATTAAAATGTGATTTAATAGCTCCTGTAATGCCACATTGAGGAAAAGTACCATATTGTCTGACACTGAGCATTGCAAGCCTGAAGGTTTCAGGTTCTATTTTTGGTCTGAGAGTTGGTCCAGGTTTGGGAGTGGAGAAAAATGCTCGGCTTATTGTTAGTAACCTCTAGCCTGTGGAGTCCTGTAGCTCAGTGGTTAGAGCACTTGCCTCGCAAGCAAGAGACCTGGGTTTGATTCCTGGCAGGGTGAAACCTTGGACAAGTTTCCTTACTCCATACGCCCAATAATAATCCCTCCAAAAAAACAAAACAATAATAAATTGGTCATTTTGAATCCATGACTGTTTGTGGGACATTGCTGTGCGCAATTGGCTGCCGCGTTCGCCCACAAATAAACGGTCAATTCACTTTACAGTGTGTTCTGTGAAGCGCTTTGGGACGTCCTCCCGACGTGAAAAGCGCTATATCAAATGCAAGGATTATTATTATTATTATTATCTAGAAGAGGTGAAAAGTGCTATATCAAATACAAGGATTATTATTATTATTGTAGCCAGTGACCTTTGCTAAAGAGGTATTTCAAGTGTACAAGCTTGCCAAGCCAGAGGAGCTTGGCTACAGTGCTTTCATGGTCAAATATCCAACCATTTAATGTGTGCACAAGAGTAATAGACTTTTTTTTGGTGGCGGGTGCTGTAATCCATTGAAATTTTTTTTGAAATCTTTTGTAAGAATGTTCCTGCCTTTAGGAGAGGTGAATGGAGCAATTGGAAATAAAATTTGAGAGAAAAAAATCAGCTAACATGCTCCTTGCAGTGAGCGAGCACTATAGACTGCAGAGTTTTAGCACTGGGTGACATTAAAATGAAATGTCTGATTTGAGAAAATGTTGAATGTCTCTCAATTAATTTGGGTTACTTAAAGTAATTCTATCTAGAATTGGATTGCCACAGATCTTACGTTTGCTATAGCTTTTTAATATAAAATATGTATGAAATATAGATTGTTAAAATAGGGTATGAAAAATATGAATTCAACCAATGTCTGTAAATATCTGAGCTTTAACCCTGAACTGCATAGCAGAATGCGAGGCAGGCATTGTGTGTACTTTAATATACGAGTGCATATTAAATTAAGTCCACACATTAAATGGTTAGGTATACGAGAGTGGGTTACAAGACTGTAACTCAGTTTAGAGATTTGGTTGACCTAAATCCTGAGGCTGAATTGCAAGCATCAACTTATTTCAAAATAGTTTTTTTTATGTTGTCTTTAAATTTTTCTGAACAGTGTACTCTCTTTGATTGTTAATGCCCCTCTGCAGTTGCTCTCTGGAACTCTTTCCACCTCTAAAATCTTTTTACCTAGCTTCTTCCTGGTTTCAAAACTCTCTTAAAAGCTTCTCTTTGACCTTGCTTTTGATAAACACCTTTATGTCCTCTTTCCTCTCAACACTCTATCCATCTACAAATTGCTGTGAGTTCATCCTACGTGCAGGGCATTATATAAATGCGGGCTGTTATTATTGATGTTGTTGCTGCTTACAAGAAGTTATACACGAGCTAAGCTACCTGACGTTCTTGTTGTTGCTACTCTTCCTCTTTTGAAGAGGCACCTGATCTCTTTTTGACAGAGTTGAGATTGGAAACTCACAGTTGCAGTGTAAATCCATATTCCATGTATCGTTGGAAAAAACCATTAGAGTTCCAATTAGCCATGAAATTCTGCTTTTACTTTCGTCAGTCAGGTGTCTGACACATGCAGAAACCCATCACCATGCTTAAATGCATCCAAACCAAACTCTGTATCCAGCAGAGTGGATGAGCAGTGGAGTGGGATATCAGAAAGATAGGAAAGTGCCAGAGCATGAAGGAATTTATTTGAGTAGGCTGGAGAAGGGGTAGAGGGGAGGAAAACGTATGAATACACTCTCAGGGTGGGGTGGGTGGGGGCTGGGTATAGAAATACAAGTTGGAATCTTTTGGGGATTGAACTGGCAAAGCCACTCAGATCTGCTATAATGCAAGATATTATGGTTCAGCTTTCTCTTATTGTTATTATTATTATCTGACTCCTCAATGAAGCTTGGAAGTGTAGGTATGTTCCCCACCCTGGAAGCCGAAGGTTTTAGCTGGACAAGTGTTGTGCTACGTGGTGACTTTATTTTTGTCTCAAGATTGCTCTTTTCTGGAATCGAGCCAATAGGAATAAATCTTATTTAATTTTTTTTCATATAATAGAGATAATATAATTTCAACGCTCGGAGACGCTACCCAGTGTGAAGGCCGCTAAGTAATTGCAGGCTGTTATTGTCGAAATAGATTTCCAGCGTTCAGAGGCTGCTGTTGTCCAAGTTGGTTGTGGGTTGGTGAGTGCTGAAATATTTTAAGAGAAAAATAATTAATAGATACAGGTTGATACCTTTCTGGAAAACGGTGGTTTTAAATGAATTTGTGCATGACTTAACCACTGGTTGATTGACTCTTTCCCCAACCACAATTGTTAATAATAATAATAATAATCCTTGCATTTGATATAGCACTTTTCACGTCAGGAGGACGT